AGGGGGGCCGCGGCATGGCGGGGCAGCTGCCTGCTTGGGCCACGCTTGCTCCCATGCTCCGCGAGGCGGCCGGGCCGAGAGGCGCCGTGTGCAGCTCTGGCGGACTCACCTGTGCAGGACACGCAGCAGGCCTGGCGGGCAGAGGCGCTCCTTCCACAGCTCTTTTCGGTCACACCCTCTGTTGTCCAGCCGTGCCCATGGAGCCCGGCCTCATGTGCAGGCTCCTGCGGGGCACTAGGGCTGTAACTGAGCGGGCCAGACTCGCCCTGACCTGCAGGCAGCTTCCACTCTAAAGGGAAACGGCAGAAAAGCAAATAGGATCCTTTAAGGGCAGCAGAGCCTGGAAGTGCGACAGGCTCTGTGTCACATCAAGGGTCCAGGAGAGCCTTGCTGCCAAGGGGACGCGGGGTGGACTCTGGAAGGGCCAGCGAAGACCAGAGGGAGAGAGTCTGGGTTATAGGGGCAGCAGGTGCAAGTGTGGGGACGCACCGGGTGGAGGAGGAGGAGGAGGCGGCTTTGATGGTTGCAACGTGGGTAGCTGGGGCTGTGGGGTTGGAGCTGGGCAGGGCTGACCCTCGCTGAGTGCCCAGATGTCTGCCCTCTGTGCCCCGCGGGCCGGTGAGCTGCCCTGGGTCCGTGCGTCTGCCCCGCGCTGGCACTGGGCACCTGTTCTCCAGGAACGGGGGTGGGGCGGCCCTCTGCCCTCAGGGGCTCCTGTCCCTGTGGGTCAGGGTCACACCCAGTGTGGTGCCTCGGGCTGTGGGGGCGGGTCAGCTCCAGTGAGTGGGACTGGGGGACAGTGGTCTTACCGAGGCCGAGCCAGGGGAGTCTTCATGTGGAGTGTCAGGCCTGGGTCCTCCCCAATTACCCCCTGCTGAGCTTTCCTGCAGGAGTTCCACCCCCGGCTCTGTGGGGTCACGCAGCCTTCCTCGGGCTGGGGAACCAGGATTCTGGGGTTTGGAGGTGTTGCTGTTCTCCCTGGGGGGCGGGGTTGGCGCCCGGGTCTGCCGCAGCTGACGCCCGCCCACGCGCCCGCAGGAGTGCGCTGGGGAGCCGCTCTTCCTGCTGTACTGCGCCATCAAGCAGCAGATGGAGAAGGGCCCCATCGACGCCATCACGGGCGAGGCGCGCTACTCCCTGAGCGAGGACAAGCTCATCCGGCAGCAGATCGACTACAAGACGCTGGTGAGCTGGGCGGTGGGGGAGGGGCCCTCCCCCCACGCCTGCCGGGGGAGGGGCTGACGCCCCGCCCCTCGCCCGCAGACCCTGAACTGCGTGAACCCCGAGAACGAGAATGCGCCCGAGGTGGCAGTGAAGGGGCTGAACTGCGACACGGTGACGCAGGTCAAGGAGAAGCTGCTGGACGCCGTGTATAAGGGCGTGCCCTACTCCCAGCGGCCCAAGGCCGGGGACATGGACCTGGGTGAGCCCCTGGGGCCCAGCCACCAGTGCTGGCTGGAGGGTTTAATGGGAGGGATGTGATGCGCGATCCGGGCTGGGTCCCCCAAGCTGGTCCTGCCCGGGGCGGAGGCGGGCTCCCGAGGGCTCAAGGAGCTGGGGGGCCCAGTGAGGCTGGGGGTGGCGCTGGCTTACGAGCAGGACAGCAGTGGAGGCGGGCGCACCTGCTGAGCTAGGGAAGTCGGGGAAGGAGAGCAGGTCCAGGCTAGGGTCCAATGGATGTGGCTGGAGCCGCCATAGAGGCCTGGAGAGCAGGCTGAGGAGCCAGACGAGAGCTCTGGAAGGCAGGGCAGACCACAGGGGCCCAGGGTGGGGCGGCGAGGGCTCCTGCTCTGGTCTGGGCGGGAACCCCCCCACGCACCCTGGGGCTGAGGGGGTGGGGCAGGGTGGCACCTCCCCGTGGCCCCGCCCTTACAGCGTGCCCCTCCCCCCAGAGTGGCGCCAGGGCCGCATGGCCCGCATCATCCTGCAGGACGAGGATGTCACCACCAAGATCGACAACGACTGGAAGAGGCTGAACACTCTGGCCCACTACCAGGTGACCCCCAGCCCTGACCCCCGCCACAGCTCGGCGCTCCGGGTGTCCAGACCCGGTGGTGGGGTCGAGCTCCAGAAGAAAAGGGGATGGGCTCACGAGAGAGCGTCTGGGCTCCGCCACGGCCCACATGAAGCCCCACAGCCCCAGAGGCACCTGGTTGGGAGGCTGAGGCCCAGGAGAGAGACTGGCCCTGAGTGGTGGGTCCTGTGTCACCCAGCCCTCTGCCCACAGGTGACAGATGGGTCCTCTGTGGCCCTGGTGCCCAAGCAGACGTCTGCCTACAACATCTCCAATTCGTCCACCTTCACCAAGTCCCTCAGCAGATACGGTGAGGGCAGCGGGGGGCAGGCCACCAGCCTGGATGGGACACTGCGCCTGGAGGGCGCTGAGGCAGGCTGGGGGGGCTTGGTCACAGCCTTTCCCTGGACAGCATGTACCCCACACGATGGTCGTTTGTGCCATCTTCAGGTGCCACTGTCCCCAGCAGCCCAGGGAGGTGGGGTGGTGGCCCCAGTTTTCGGACAAGGCTGGGGCGGGACCGGGCGCCGGGCATGGCGGCTGACGGCGCACTGCCCACAGAGAGCATGCTCCGCACGGCCAGCAGCCCCGACAGCCTGCGCTCCCGCACGCCCATGATCACGCCCGACCTGGAGAGCGGCACCAAGCTGTGGCACCTGGTGAAGAACCACGACCACCTGGACCAGCGGGAGGGCGACCGTGGCAGCAAGATGGTCTCAGAGATCTACCTGACACGGCTGCTGGCCACCAAGGTGGGCGGGCGGGACCCCGCACCCTTGATGCGTGTCGGCCAGGGCACGGAGCGGGGGCGGCGCCTGGAGCTGTGTCCCACTCGCCCACCCACAGGGCACGCTGCAGAAGTTCGTGGACGACCTCTTTGAGACAATCTTCAGCACGGCGCACCGGGGCTCGGCCCTGCCACTGGCCATCAAGTACATGTTCGACTTCCTGGACGAGCAGGCCGACCAGCACCAGATCCACGACTCGGACGTGCGCCACACCTGGAAGAGCAACTGGTACCTGTGGGCAGTGGGGCGGGCGGGGGGCACAGCCACACCAAGGGCGGCACTCGGCCCGCTCGAGCAGGGAGCCTGGTGGCTGCGGTGCTGCAAGAGGCCCATCCACCAGGGGCCGGGGTGGACCCGCCCTGTTCTAATGGAGGAGGAGAGGCCACCAGGTGAGGGACTTCCTGACTCACCCAGCGGGGCATCCACTGCCCCCAACCCGGGCACACCCGCTGCTGCAACTTGCAGGACTCCCTCGGGTGTGGGAGTTGGGGGCGGTCCCCAGGCATGCACAGCTGTGTGTGGGTTTCTGCCTGAGAAATGGACTCAGAGGGCCAGACCTGCGCTGGCTGGCTCCAGCAGTGTGGGTGATGGTGACTGCAAACACCCCAGACTCTCACCGCAAGGGGTGAGCAGGGCCAGCAGCCCATTCTGACTTTTGTCTCCAGAGCTGACCGCATCGCTTGGCAGTGACTGCCCGGTCCGCACAAGCTCTGTGCCTCGGGCCACTTCTCCCTGTGCCCTCACCCACCCAGCACTCTGTCCTCTGCCTGCTTCTGCTCCCCGAGCCCACCTCCACCTGTGCTGCCTGTGGACCTGGAGGGGGTCCACGGGGCACCTGGGGGAGGCAGCGTCGTGTAGGGGGGACTTCCTGTGATGATGGAGGTTCTCGGTTGGCGCCATCCACGTGGCCATGAATGCGTAGGAGCATCTGACACCTGATTGGTGCAGCCAAGAATCTTAACTCCTAACTTCATGTGAATTCAAATAGCCCCAGGTGGCTGCTGGTTTTCCTGGAAGTGGCACTCCGGGTAGAGAGGGCAGCTGTCTCTGGGGCTGTGTCTCCTGGAGCCTTTGCTGGTCTCCATCTGTGGGCAGGAGCAGGGGTGAGCCTGCTCAGGGGGGATGGCTCCTGCTGAGTGAGCCAGCACTCAGACCTGGAGGGCTGCAGCCACGCACAGTGGTGCCCAGGGCGGGAGTTGTCTTGTGACTGTGGGGAGGAGCTGGGCGGCAGGAGACTGCCCTCGCTTGCTGCCTGGCAGCCTGGGCCTGTCTCCCCGTCTGCATGGAAATCGCAGGCTGGCCCCTTCCCCCGGCTGTCCTGAGGGTGCCGAGGTTCCACCTGACTGTGCGCCCCTGCTTGCAGCCTGCCCCTGCGCTTCTGGGTGAACGTGATCAAGAACCCGCAGTTCGTGTTCGACATCCACAAGAGCAGCATCACGGACGCCTGCCTGTCGGTGGTGGCCCAGACCTTCATGGACTCGTGCTCCACGTCCGAGCACAAGCTGGGCAAGGACTCGCCCTCCAACAAGCTGCTCTACGCCAAGGACATCCCCAACTACAAGAGCTGGGTGGAGAGGTGGGCGTGCGGGGTGGGGGCCGGCGGGGCGGAGGGGCTGAGACCTCGCTCATGCGCCCGCCCACTCTGCACAGGTACTACGCCGACATCGCCAAGATGCCCGCCATCAGTGACCAGGACATGAGCGCGTACCTGGCTGAGCAGTCGCGGCTGCACCTGAGCCAGTTCAACAGCATGAGTGCCCTGCATGAGATCTACTCCTACATCACCAAGTACAAGGACGAGGTGAGCCGGGCCCAGGCCCCACCCCCGCCCACCCCGGACCCCTGGGCCTACGCAGTCTGTTCTGCTGCGTGAGTGACGCGTGTGTGTGCGTGGAGCAGTTGGGGATGGACAGCTGACGCACAGGCTGCATCAGACGGGGCTGGAGAGGCAGAGTGGGCCCTGAGGCCAGAGCAGGCCCAGCTGTGGAACCAACCGTGGAGGCCATGAGGCTGAATCAGAGTTGGGGTGGGAGGGGAAGGCAGGGCCGTCTCAGGGGGTGCAGGCTTCGGGGGGCCCTCGGGGTTCAGAGACAGCCATGATCTGCTGGGGGGATGTTGGGGAGAGGCAGGAGCTGTGTCTGACATGCCAGGCTGCAGGGGTGGGAGAGGGGCAGGACTCAATCTGACTTTGGACTAATGACCAGGAGGTGAGAAAGCTGCAGGGTCAGGGGTCAGGAACATTTGTGTACGTTTGAGGGGTGGGGAGCTGTGAGCTCAGGGGAGACTCGGGCTGCAGGTCAGAGAATGGGGCATGGGGCTGAGCAGGAGGACCTTCAGCTGACCTTGAGGAGGCGGCCCCAGGGTCGCTTCCAGAGCGGAGAAGAGAGGCATGAACCGCGGGGTGACAGGCAGGGGCAGGGTGTGGGCAGCAGGGCCAAGGAGGATGACAGTGCCCTGGGGTGGGGACTGGGGTTCTCCCCGAGAGCACAGAGACATGGGGCGGGGGTGGGAAGGGAGTAGTGGCCGGGAGCCAGTGGACGGACTGACCGCCAGCAGGAGATGGGAGTGTGAGCAGAGGGCCCAGCAAGACTGGCAGGTGCTGGGGGTGGTCCTGGAGCTCAGAGGGCCCCGACCCCAGCTGAAAGTCAGGGACGCTGCACTGCTGGGACATGCAGTTCTGGCTGTGGCCAGGGCCCTGTTGGTGGTGCTTCTAGGGGATGCCGGGTCCTTGGGGTCTCTCAGATGAGAGTGGGAGGACCTCAGCTCGAGCCCCGGCCAGGCCTGATGGCCCTTCCTGTCCCCAGATCCTGACGGCCCTGGAGAAGGACGAGCAGGCTCGGCGGCAGCGGCTCCGGAGCAAGTTGGAGCAGGTGGTGGACACCATGGCCCTGAGCAGCTGAGCCGCCAGCCGCAACAGCCCAGCCAGCAGGAGTTGAGTGAGAGGGCCCTCGGGACAACCTCCATCTGGTGGCCAGAGCTGGGAGGTCCGCCGAGGCAGCCCCACCCTGGCCAGGCCGAGTGTCCTGCGCTGGGGGCCAGGTGTGCTGTCCTGGTCCCCCGGCCTCCTCGTCCCCTTCCTGCCTGGCAGGGGTCCCAGTTCTTAGTTGGTGTGGGCGAGATGGTGCCTGCAGTACCTTCCCTGCCCAGAGCCACTTGCCACAGGGCTGGGGAGCCCAGGTGTGAGCAGGGTCCTGCTCGGGATGCTAGGGTGACTGCGGAGGACTTGTGGGTTGGGCTGGAGCCCTCCAGCAGGGGGAGGCCAGTCCGTCTCCCTGAGGCCAGACTGCCGAGGCCAGGAGGGCCAAGGGCTGGGCAGGGGTCAGCTGGGCCAGGTTTCCTGGGCAGAGTCTGAGGGCTGGGGCCTGGCTGGCAGCCGGGGGCGCTGAATACCCAGGGCCCAGCCAAGGTGAGCTGACGTGGGTCTGGGCCATTGCCACCCCCCGTCATGTCCGGCACCCCCACACTCGCCGCCACACCACCGCCACCATCCTCCGATTCACCGCGTGCTCTCCGCGGCCAAGGCTGGAGCTCCACGTTGATCTCGCCCCGAGAGAGGCCCCGGCCCCCTCCTATGGAGGGGCTGCAGGCTGGCTCTGCGCAGGGCCCAAGTGACTTCCAGAAGGACTCGGGTCCCCTTTCTGTCCTCAGGGCTGTGCCTCTGGGAGCCAATGGGCCTGGGGCTCCGGGTCAGGAGTGCACGTTCCCCCTTATTTATTCCCCCGTCCACCCTGGGCTGAGCTCCACTGGTGGAGGTCTCGGGAGCAGCCCCCCGCCCCATCCCAGCTCCTTCATCCACCTTCCAGTCTGCCTCTCAGCAGAGTGCTGGCCCCTCAGGGCGCTGGGACATAGAGGGGACAATACTCGTGTTGTCGGGGAACAAAGGAGTCCTGCTCTGCTCGGGCAGCGGTCCAGCGGGGGCCTCGGACCACACCCACTGGCCTGGCCGGGAGCAGGATGCAGTGACCAGGGGGCCTGGGGGTCGGCCCTGCCCACCCTGCCCTCAGCGAGCGAAAGAGAACACATTTTTAATTAAAAAACCTGTACATATATATACATATATATATATGTGGCTCTAGCCTCAGTCTCCAGCCCCAGTGGGGTCCTGTACAGTTACCTGGAGGAGGAGAAATTTTTCAGCTAGAACAAGGAAATGAAGGCAGAGGGAACGATGCCAAACGGTTGCGGAGAGCGTGGCCAGAGCTTCCCTGCGTGGGGCTCCCAGGGCCTCCGCGCCTCGCCCCGCGGGTCGTCCTGTTTCCACGGACGCGGGCCGTGGACTCCTGCATGACTGTGCTAGCGTTTAGTCTGACTTGGTCTTTTTAAAACTGCAAGTGTTGAATACTAGAGATTGTTAGGCCCTTTTTTCCATGTTTTTTAATTAATCAGTCACTTGTGAAGGCAGTGGCCCGTCCCCTTTTCAATTCACTTTTTCGACGGTACTGAAGATTCCCACGGACTTTAAGGGACAGCTAACTGTGGCCGGCCCTGCGCCCGCAGGCCGCCCGTCCTCCGTCCCCCAAAGCAGCGTGAGCCGGACCAAGCACCTTGATCAGCTTAGGAGCTGCTCCCTCGCGAGAAGGGTGGGGTGGGGGTGAAATCCGCCACCTTCTGACTCAGGAAGCTCCTGCAACGGGGGAGGGGCAGGGGGACAGGTGTCCCTGGGCCCTGTGGGCACTGAGCAGGGCTCAGGCCTCCCACCCAGGTGGGTGTCCAGCTGGAGCTCAGGCCAGCATGGGCTTCCACCCTGAGTGCCCCTTCCTGCCCAGATGCCGCCCAGGTCCGAGCCCCACTTCCCGAGTTTTCCCCAACGCTGCTTCTGATCGAAGCCCCTGTTCTTCCAGTCCTGCTCTGGCTGGGGGCTCCTCAGCCCCTGTGCCGCCCTCTTCAGAGTCCAATCCCCTTCCTAGGGCTTCCCAGGCCCCCGCGGGGAGCTGGCCCCTGTGCCCACCATGAGGGGGCCCTTGTTGCCTGGTCGCAGGTGGGCTGGGTGGGAGTGACACAGAGGGAGGGGAGTGGCCAGCCCTGCCTGGCGTGTGGCCTCGTGGGGCTCGCACACATGTCAGGTGCAAGCACTTTAGCACTGTCTGTTTACACACGAGCTGATCGCGGACCTAGGCCTGCTGTCCACCCAGCGCACCACGGCTGTGTCTCCCTCCCTGGGTCTGGAGTTAGACTCTGAGGCCTCCTCATCCCTGGTTGCACGGTCCTCACCGTGCCCAGGCACCCACCGTCACCTCCAGCATCCTCCTTGCCAGGCACTCGGACCCCAAGCTCTGGCTCTGGCCTGGGGCACAGGGGATTGGAGCCTGCTCTGTGCAAGCAGGAGGTGCAACTGCCTGAGGTCCTCCCAAGTCCCAGGGCTGGGGGTCTGGGCCGCGGGCAGGGCGCTGAGTCAGGACACCCACTGCCTGGACACTGCTGCTACCGCCTGTCCTGCCACGGTCAGCCCTCCCCTCGCCTGCACGCGTCTCAGGAGTGCCCGGGATGGCTCAGCCTGGGTCCGGGAGCCTGGCCTCCCCATATACCTCGAGCTTGCCCGCGCTCCCTGACCCAGGGCCGCCGGCCCCCTACTCCCCAGCCCTGGGCCCAGGAAGAGGGGCCTGTGGCTGGCCAAGTGGCGCCCGCCCTCCCCGGTCAGCCCTGCCGAGTGAGCCGCTGCCCGTCCCAGAGCTGAGGGCTCACGCCGTTGGTGCTACACATGCTAGAATAGATATATTTAGAGAGAGAGATATTTTTAAGATGAAGCCCACAATTAGCTGTCCTTTAACGCCACAGAGCCCCCACCCAAAAGAAGAGCGATCACTCGCGACCTGAGCTGCCCCCTCGGCCCCCGCCTCGCCCAGGGGCAGCAGGGCTGACAGACGCTCGGCCCGCAGGTTGTGTAAATACACGGCTGTTTCCTATTTTACTGTCTCAGATTTAGTACTTGTAAATACACACACACTAAGGAGAGAGTAAACATTTTTGCTAAAGCTCGCGGCTCCGGGTTTTCGTTGCTGGAAGGGGTCTGGGGGGCACACGGCCAGCACGGCTGCACACACATCCCACTCTCCACCCTCGGCTTTGGCCGGGCCTCGGTGCTACCGGCGCTCGGTGTGGCCAGGGCAGCAGGCCCAGCGGTGTGGCGCCCGGAGGCTGTGGGGGCACCTGGGCACCCTCAGCCTGGTCCCCGCCCGGCGGCTCCCGCTGCCCCTGGGCCCCGCAGTGTGTCCTCGCGCCTGGGCTCAGCATTGCTCCCCTGGGGCCTGCTGAAGTGCAGGCTCCAACCCGGAGGGCCCGGGGCAGCCCACCCGGGGCAGCAGGGCTAGAGCTGCACAGCCCTGGGCTTTCTGGCCAGAAGCACCCCGTTGGGAACCTCAAAGCCGAGGAACTCAGTCTGGGAAATGTGGCCCTTCTGGCACAGACCAGTTCGGCCCCGTGAGGGTTCGGACGTGGGTTTCCTGACCGAGGTCTTGATGTAGACTCTCCCAGCAGTGCCTCTGGGCAGGGCCCTGGCTCTGGGCTGATCCGACAGGGACCACCGTTTCTACCCAAAGGCGTTGGCGTCAGAGGTGGCCAACACGGAGGAGGCAGGCCTAGGAATGAATGAGGCAGGTGTGATGGACCTCGAGGGGCAGACCTGCACACCGGCCTGTGCCTGATCTCCAGGCCACCCAGGAAGTAACAGTGACAAGGCCGACGGCCCACTTGTCGTCCAGCCGCTGTCGGCACGGCCAGTGACCTGCTGCAGCCCTGACAGCGACCCACACGCAGGTGGCGAGGGGAGCTGAGGGCCACGCGAGTGGTGAGCCGCCTTGTGGGACTGAAAGCAAGAGGGGGTCCCTCGAGAAGCCGGGCCACGCTCCTGCCTGTCTTTCCGCAGAATCTGTTCTGAGGGCGCTGAAGGGGTCCATAAATCATCAGTGCCTCCTGCTCCAAAACAGGCCCATCCTGACAGCCGGGGCCGCGGGCGGCGAGCTCAGCGCCAGGCTCAATTACCGAAAAGGAATCAGTGTAATCAGCATGAAATTGCATCAGAAACAGATTCAGCAAATGTGGTCCCGTTTGGGGTGTGACGTGGCCTGTCCCCACAGCTCTGTGCCCTCCAGCTTTGTAGCACAATCAGCCGTGCCTCAGTTACCCTTGTCAGGCCACCGAGAGCCCAGCCCTGCCAGCCTGGAAGCAGGTGGCCATCTCAGCACAGTGCAGCCAGGGCTCGCCGTGATCAAGCGTGATTGTGCGGGGAGCGTGGTGCGGGAGGGTGTCAGTGCCGGGCTCACCAGCCGCTCCGGGCGGGGCAGAAGGGTGGGGGTGCCTGTGTGCCCAGCCCTGCTAGGCCCTGGTGATGGAGTGGCGGATGGAGCACGGACCCCGTGAGCCGGGATGACATAACAGGCCAGGCTGGAGATCACCCGGGGGACTGCAGGGGGCATGGGGTGGCAGCCAGCTGGACGGATGGCAAGGGCCGTCTGGGGATGTGCGGTGGCGGGGGGGCCTGAGAGGGCAGTGTCTCCGGGCAGGGTGGCTGGCGTGCTGGAGGAGCAGCACACGAGGCCACGGAGGGGTCTCCAGTCCCAGGGGGAGCCGGGGCTCCTCTGAGCTCCTTGGGCAGCAAGACAGCAGACTCTGATTCGCACGTGGAGGCCATGGGGCTAGAGGGCCAGGGGCCACCTGGGAGGCTCTCTGGGGGCGGAGGCCCTGCTGTCCCCCGGGGACCCTGCAGCCCGTCAGGTGATACTGCTTCCTGGCACATGTGGCCTTTCTGGAAGCAGCTGGGGAGGCATCAGTGGAAGGTGCTTGGACAACACCTGGGCTAGACGTCTAGTTCTCAGGAGCAAGGGTTCTGGAGAGCAGAGCCACCACCGTCTGCAGTGGGCGCGTGGCATGAGCGTGTGCAGGACACAGACCTTGCAGGAACTGCTGCTTCTGCAGCATGGCCCAGGACACACTGACCATTACAGGCTGGCAGCATTCAGTCTGCACGCAGGAGGACCTGGGGACAGGTGAGATGCATCGCTTCCCCATGGACACAGGGCTGTCAGTGTGGAGCCAGCATTCAAGCCTAGACTATCCGCCAGCTCACTTGGGGTCTAAGTACTTTGAGAAATTGGCTTTTCTGTGTCCAGCTGAAGACCACCCCAATCATACCCAAGCATGTATTCCTTGCTAGGGGGCCCCTCTCCATTACAAATGGCAGAAACAACCTAAACTGGCTGGAACAATGAAAGGAATCTGGCTCCTGCAATAGAAAGTCCAAGGGTACATCCAGTTTCAGGCATGGCTGGATCCAGAGGCTCCATGAGGTCACAAGGAATCTGCCTTTCTCCTTCTCTGTTCTCTGTGTAGGTTTCATTAGAAGGCAGGCTCTTCCCAAATCAGGGCACCAATGGCTGCTAGAGGCTCTGGGCTAACCAGCTCGGCAACCAGGTGGTAAGAAAGCCCCTTTGCTCCACGTGTGTCCAGGTGGGGATTTCACTGGCCAACTTTAGGGCACATGTCTATTTGAACCATCCAGAGGATGAAGTGCTCTGACCAGACCCAAGTCACATAGCCAGTGGGAGCGCTCGGTCCATCTGCACCTCAGGGTTTTCCGAGTTACGCGGGGCACGGAGCAGGGAGTCTTGTGCAGTTTATAGGTTCTGCCTGTGTCTGCTGAGGATTCCTGGGGGTGGATGGATAGCTGAGGTGCCTGGGCACCTCCACAACCACCCAGTCTCTTCCTGGTGGCCTCTAAGTAATCGCTGATTGCCCACTTGAAACTCCCTCAAAATGCCCGAGTTCTGCGTGCCAGCCGGCTTGTGCTGCCCGTGGGATCTTGGTGTTGGGGGGGGGGTCCTGGACCGAGATGATCCACTAGACCGGTGAGCTGGCCAGGTAACAGGCGGGGCCAGGGTGGCCGTGAGAGGAGATGGACCCCGAGCACGGAGAGATGTCAGTGAATTCTGATCCCTGACCTGGGTGTTTTCACAACGGGGCTGGAGTGGGGACCTCCAGGGTGTGGGATGGGTATGGGGTGGTCTGCTCCAGCCTGAGTAATGTCACCTCTCCTTCACTGCCCCTTCGAACCCCACCTGCCAATCCCCACCAGCTCCCCATCCATCCACCTGGTCATTGGTCCACTGCTGCCCCCCGTCTCGGTCACACCCACCCACCACTCCACCGTCAACACCATCCATCCACTTCCGGGGGCAACTCCCCTGTCTCTCCAGCCCCCTAGTTCTATCCCCAGATCCATCCAGGTTCGGCAGAGGCAGGGTCACAAAGGATTTGAACTCATGAGCGTCAGGGAGGGTGTGGAGACACCGGACACTTGTGCACGGCTGGTGGGAAAGGGAAAGGGGCAGCTGCTGCGGAAAGCACCGCAGTGGTTCCTTCAAAGCTCAACACAAAACCACACGTGATCCAGCAGCCCTCCTTCTGGTATGTACGCAGCAGACCTGAAAGCCGGGGTGCAGAGAAGTCTGCACACCCACGTTCACTGCAGCCAAGAGGCGGGAACAACCCACGGGGACAAACAGAATGTGCTACACACACTGAGATGTGATTCGGCCCGAGACGGAGGGAAACTCGGGCACCTGCTGCACCACGGATGAGCCTCGAGGACGTGATGCTCAGTGAACGAGCCGTCACAGGACGGATCCTGCAGGCGCCCGCTCGGGGAGGCCCTGGGGGGTCAGGTTCACAGGGACGGGCAGTGGGTGGGGGGCCAGGGGCTGGGGGCGGGGAGGGGGTGTGGGGATAGTGGTTGGTGGGGACAGAGGTTCCATTTGGGAAGAAGAAAAGGTTCTGGGTGGATGGTGGTGATGGCTGAACAAGGATGTGAATGTGCTTGGTGCCCGTGAGCCACGCCTTCAGAATGGTTAGACTGTAAGTCTTGTGTTTCATGTATCCTGCCACATCTAAAGGAACAACGCACGTTAAAGGAGCCTGGTGCCCACCGTGTGGAGCGGAAAGTCCCGGAATGTGCTGCAGCGGGAGGGCCCGCCCTTCCCCTCGGGCCTGACGGTCTCATCCCTCGGCTGCAGGGACGATGGCCCCACAGCTCTGCCCGCTGGGTGCCTCCCCGGGGGCTGCGCGGTGCCAGGGCAGGACCTCTCATCTCCCCACCCCAGGCTCCCGGCTGCCGCTCCCACCTTCCCCAGGCCCAACCCCACTCCTGCCCCAGGGGCGTCCCTCCTCCACTGCCTGGAGCCCTGCTGTCTGCGGGTGGGTCCATCCCCCGGGGCTCTGACAACTCCAAGGCCTCACCCGGCTGCCCGCCCCCCCACCCAGCAGGTGCCCCTGGAGGAGCCCGGACGGTGCGCTGCTCCCCTCCACCCCTGGGCTGGGTGCTGAGCTCCACCAGAACCTCTGGCCCAGCTTCCCCTGCGGTGGCTTCGAAGCCCGGCTCTCTTTTTCTGTAAAGGATAAACATTTTTTTCTTACATAGCCCATGTCATTATCGGGCTGACAGAATGATCGTTTGTTTATTCAGATCCCAGCCATCTCCCAACTGCATTTTCACAGGTGGAGGACAAAGGGCCCTGGAGCCCGGCGCCCGGGCGCACCCCCTGCGCACTTTCCTTCGCCCTGCGCTGTCCCTGCCTCAGCAGCTCTTCCACTGCCTCAGAACTTCCTCCAACACACTCCCCCGTCTTAACTAGAGGAAAGGACTTGAAAGGGGAGCCTCAGGCAGTGTCCTAAGTGAACATCTGGTATCGCTTGCCTTAAAGAGAAAGCGACTGTAAAGTAGCGAGTGAAAGCAAACAGGGTTTGAGATTCTAGCCACGAGCAGCTTCCAGCTGCCGGCAGGAAGTTACCAAGTGTGCCCTGGAGTCAGGGGGCCCTCGGCCACCCTGGCCCGTGCTCCGAGGCCTGCAGTTCCGCTCCTGGTCCCCTTGCCACCGGCCCCCAGCCTGGGACCACCTCACCCGCTGCCTCTGCAGCCCCCAGCCCCTGCCAGGGAGGACTCCAGCATCAGCTCTGTCCCTCTGGAGTCCCAGCGCCTGCCCTG